TACTCCCTGCACCTCGCGTGTAGTTGCAGGTATTTGTTACCCGGTAGCGGGTTTGAGCTGATTGAGGATTTTGTTATCGTAGCTGAGCAAGGTGACCGCCGGCGTTCGCGGCACCGGACTTCGTCTTTTGACTCTAAATTTTAATTTGTATATTATTGGCCTTTGTAGTTGTGTGCAGTTTTTCTTTAGATGCTTGTGACTTGTGACACCCCGGTCGGGCTGTGTAGGGGTAGTAAAATTATCTGTTTATAAATGCCATTTTAGTCGTATTTTATCCATTCATTTTATGTTTTAATAATTGTTTAAAAGAGACGAATTGAGTTAGTTGGCTGGCCTTGTCTTCACGAGAGGCGCCATCACGACCGNTGATTTCGGATGGCGTAACGGGGAGTTTTTTGGAATTTCATACAGCTGAAGGCATGATGTTTCTGGTATTCTCGCTTCTGCGGGTCTTGGACCGCAGAAGCGGAGCCGCTTAAGCGGAGCTGTGATCGCAGAAGCGGAGAGGAGATGGAAGGCAGGATCCGCATAAGCGAAAGAGCGGACCGCAGAAGCGGTACCGCTGGTGCGAAAGTAGAACCGCAGAAGCGGGTTTTTGGAAGTTTAATGAAGACCGCAAAAGCGGAGATTTGGCCGCAGAAGCGGTCCCGCATAAGCGAAAGCGGGACCGCAGAAGCGAAAACTGGACTGTTCAGAAGGGTTTTTATTTAATATTTCATCCGCGAGCTTGGGATAATTTCCACCATTGTTGGGCGACCTTGGGAGCTTTTGGCGAGAATTTAAGGGAGTTTTGACTGGGAATCGATTGGAGGTAAGTCCCCTGACTTAAATACATGAGGTTATGATAGATGTAACATGGAAATTGGTTGAAATTCATTAAAAGAGGGGTAAAACTTAGGGCTTGAGTTTTTGATATTTCAAATTGGAATTTGATAGGTCATTTGAGCTCGGATTTGGGAGTTCTTGGTATGTATGGACTCGTGGCGAGACGAGGAATCCGGTAAAGTAAGTTTTGTGATTTTTGGAGAAGTGGGCCCGGGGCTCGGGTTTTGCTAGTTTCGAGATTTTTGCTATTTCTCGATTGTTTTCGATTGGGTATTGTTCCCTTAGCATGTTGTAATGTATTCGCTCTGATTTTGGTTAGATACGACGCGCGTGGAGGCCGATTTGAGGGGAAAAGGCGTCGCGAGCCAGAGATTTCGCCGGTTCGAGGTGAGTAATACTTGTAAATGATATCCTAAGGGTTGAAACCCCGGATTTGCACATCATAGTGCTGTATTGAGGTGACTTGCACGCCGGATATGAGCGTGGGGTAGAGCACCGTTGAGGATTGTGACTTGGTCCGTTCCGGTTGTTGATTTTTTTACCGCGTATTTGACTGAAACTACTTGTTATCATCATAATTTGGGTTGATTTCCATGTTTGGGCTTCGTGCCAACTATGTGAATCCTTCAGGGATTGATATCACTGTTTTCGCATTATTTTGCATACTATTTGATCTCGGTCCAGGGTTTTAATACTGATTTGCAAACTCAGCCATTTTTCTAAGATTTGAAAACTTAAACAACATATTATTGACGTTTTGAGCTGATAACTGTTATTTTAATATTGCCCAAGTGGCTTATGTGCATTTCTGGACTGAGCATGGATCAGGCTGCGCGCCACAGCAGTGTTATAGTGATTTCTAGACATATGGTTGGCTCGGGATGCACGCCGCAGCGGTACTGTATTGATATTGAGGCCGAGGGCCTGGTTGATGCCACGAGATGGCTTGATTATTATGCTTGGGATGTAGGAGACCCTCCGGAGTCTGTACTCACCCCCAGTGAGCGCCGTCGACGTTAAATACATGGTTGGCTCGGACTGCACGCCGCAGTGGGTACCTGAGTGTACCGGTCATATGCATTGCATTGCACCCATGCATTGGTTCCTGTTTGTATTACGTGTCATGACATTCAGCACTCTCATTTCATTGGCATCCATACTACTTCTTGCACTGTTTATCAGATACCCTGGTGTTATTTGTTAATGGAGTGCTGTGCCCGAGGGGCTGACTTACGTGCTGACCTGCACTATCCGTTTCGCATTCATTGCTTAACTGTTGAAAAAGATATTTTCAAACGAGGTTTTAACTGAGCCCAGATATTTCCTAAGGGATTTTCACGGTTTTTACTGTTTTCTCAACGGGTTGTATTGTTCTATATAGCATAATGGAGTGCTTTACGTAATTTCTTGCTGCTCAGTTATTGTTTACTTTTATTACTCATTGAGTTGGAGTACTCACTTTACTCCCTGCACCTCGCGTGTAGTTGCAGGTATTTGTTACCCGGTAGCGGGTTTGAGCTGATTGAGGATTTTGTTATCGTAGCTGAGCAAGGTGACCGCCGGCGTTCGCGGCACCGGACTTCGTCTTTTGACTCTAAATTTTATTTTGTATATTATCGGCCTTGTAGTTGTGTTCAGATTTCTTTAGATGATCGTGACTTGTGACACCACGGTCGGGCTGTGTAGGGTTGTAAATTATCTGTTATAAATGCCATTTAGTCGTATTTATCCATTCATTTATGTTTAGTAATTGTTAAAGAGACGAGTTGGGTTAGTTGGCCTTATCTTCACGAGAGGCGCCATCACGACCGGATTTGGAAATTGGGTCGTGACAACAAGTTGGTGAATTATAGAGACGAATTCAATGTGAGTGAATATTCTAGAGCTATGGGTTGGCTAACAATCCCATTGAGTTTTCCACCTAAATCGTCTAATTAATTTAACTGGTTTATTGGTTGACATGGTTGATATTGCTTGTAGCCTTCTCCCGAAGTACAACTCGCCCATTCAAGCTAACCTAACGCTTATATTCCTATGAAATTAGGATTAACAAGAACGCATTTATAATTCCCGTATAATAACCAAGCAAGGCGATTAGGTATATTCCTATCCTAACAGCAAATCCGCTCCCCCAAAGAGTGAAGATCTTGCTCTACTCAATCTATATGCAATCTAGAATTCCCTCTCCCGAGTTCAATTTTAAATTTGTAGATAGTATTCAATTGGTGATCAAGCAATCAAATAATTAAGCGCAAGATTGAATAAATAAACCAATATGATAAAATAATAAGAACAATTCAAGCATCAAACTACAACGTTCATGTAGCACCCAACAACTCTAGAACAAATAAACTATGAGATTAAAGGAAGAGAAGAGAAGAAAAACTAGTTAAAAGCCTCCTCCAAGCGTGGTGTGTGTTCCTCCACGTGAAACTCCCTTCAACGTATGTTAGATATCCTCCAAGTGAGGTTTAGAGCCCCTTTTATATGAGTTGGGATCGTGTAGGGCCGAAATAATCTTGTCCCAGACGAATTAGAAAAACCCGCGCAACGCAGCGTCCAGGACAGCGCTAGGCGCTGGTCCTGGCGCTGAAAACAGTGACTTTTGCGATTTTGAATCCTTCACGCCAGGTACGTTTCTTTTTGTCTTCTTTCAATTGGAATTATATTTTTCCTTTGTTCTTGTCTCCAACTTGGGGGGACAAAAATCAAAGGGTGTCCCCCTTATTATATTCATTTAATTTCCTTTCTTTTTCTTCCGCTTTTAATTCAATTTTGCTCCAAATCTATTTATTTTCACACCGCTTTATTCCTACACAGTTAAAATATAATATTAAGTACAAAATAATATAACAAATACTCAAATGACAATTAAAAAGTAATAGAATATGAGGCAACAATGGAAAAATATATGCGTTTTTGGCCGAACATCAGTTACCTAGGGATTTTCCTTCAGATTAACATATGAATTTTTCCTCATGTTCTTTGTTTATTTACCTAAGAATTTTTTCACGGAAATTTACTTGCCGGTTTATTTCTCTACTAATATATATTAAAGTTACTGACGAATTTAATAACGCTACTAATATATCTTGAAAGTTAACGTTAAGAAAAAAATTAAATATACGAATATATTATAAAAATAATAAATAAAATAATATTACGTTATTTTATTTATACTTAAAATACATAGTAAAAATATATTATAATACTATATAATATAGAAGGTATTACATAAATATGAAGGTTTATATAATATCAAGTGCATAATAGACTTTTCAAGTAAAAATGTGACTTTTCTGATAACTAGAGAAAAGTAAAATGATTTTTGTGTAACAAAAGAAAGAAAGTAACTTTTGTGTAATGAACACAAAGTTAAATGATTTTTACATAAAAAAAAAAAGATAAAGAACAATAAAGTCGTTGGAATGTCAAATTTGGCTTTTAATTGTTTCAGTTTTATAGCTCTTTTTAATTATATTAGGATAAAAATAACTCTCACGCACTCTATGAGCTTTCCTTTAATACCCTATTGTCCGTAAAGTGCACTGTCCACCTAACGCTCTTATTATTGCTATTCTAACTAGCCTTTAACCACAGTGCGAGCTTTTATTAATACCTTATTCTCCGTAACGTTCTTCTCGACTTTATAGCCTGTTTGGCCAAGTTTTTTTTTTTGTTCAAAAGTGTTTTTTTTGGCCAAAATTATTTTTGGCCAAAAATTGAGGTGTTTGGCCAAGCTTTTGGAAGGGAAAAAAGTGCTTTTGAGGAGAAACATAAGCAGTTTTGGAGAAGCAGAAAAAAGTAGCTTCTCTCCAAAAGTACTTTTCTGAGAAGCACTTTTGAGAAAAATACACTTAGAAGCAGTTTTCAAAAGTTTGGCCAAACACTAATTACTGCTCAAAAGTGCTTTTTTAATTAATTAGTCAAACACAAACTACTTCTCACCAAAAGCACTTTTTTTAAAAAGTAATTTTGAGAAAAACACTTCTCAAAATAAACTGATTTTAGAAGCTTGGCCAAACGGGCTATTAGAAAGCAGTTAGGCAAGCACATTGTCATAAATGTACTCGACAAAGTTTTTATTTCTTGAAGTATCTTACTAACTCAGGCATTATTTAAGTACATTTTAAACTCCTATATGTTATTTAGCTTACTCTAAAATTATGCGCGTCAAACAATAATTAATTCCGCCCAGCCTAACTATCTATAATCTTCTAGTCTCTCTCTGTAAACAACGGAAACCGACTAGCTTCTACTTATATTTGTTGAGGAAGTCATGTCTGAACTTCCAAACTTGTATACAATGTTGTATTCTCGTTTAGTGAATGGGATGTTGTTTTCTTTGTATATCGTTTTTATAATGTTAATAAGTAGTAGTAGAATTGAAGCAAAGGTGAAGCTACCGCCCAACGTAGTTGTAAAGGCGGTTTATGCATTCGGAGATTCAATTGTGGATCAGGGAAATAATAATAATATTGTGACCACGCCAGTCAAGTGTAATTTTCCACCTTATGGAAAGGACTTCATGGGCGGTATGCCAACCGGACGGTTCAGCAATGCCAAGACTCCACCGGACATGATAGGTAATATCTATACCCATGCAGTTGGTAATTTTCTCTATTTTGACTTTCGTGAAAATCAACCAAACTGAGAAAAGGTTATATAATGTAAAATTGTTATACGAGTGTTTGCATCGAATTTATGGAGAGAAAAATAAAACTGCAATCACAAATAACTATAAACAAAAAATGATTTTATTAATAAACATTGCAAGTTACAACTCTGTTCCCTTGATTCTTCCCTCCAATTTATTCTATGTGATTCGAGGGTCTTAGCGGTGTATTTCTCGAATGTAGGACTTTTAGCAAGACATATTTGACATGTCTTTGATCTCTTAATGAATATTTCAAGAGTTTTATGGAATTTCGGAATTCTCATATTTGATCTCTTTGTACATATTACGAGAGTTTATGGAATTGCTAAGATCTTCTTTGAAGGACATATATCGCCTTATTTATAGGCATGAATTAGGGTTTGGTTGGAGTAGCCAATAGACTCCTAATATTTCAAGAGTTGTATTGAATTTAGGATTTATCTTGACCTATTAAAATTTCAGTGGCTACAGGGAGTATTTCGAAATTTTAATCCTTAAAGTGATAATTAAAAAAAGATGTGATATTATATTTGAGGAGTTTGACTTACCTCCATGTTGTCTGTTTCAGCCAAAGAACTAGGTCTTAAAGAGCTGATACCAGCTTATCTAGATCCAAATCTGAAAGTTGAAGATCTAAAAACTGGAGTAAGCTTTGCATCAGGAGGCAGTGGATATGACCCTCGAACATCTACAATCAATGTAACTTTTTATTCATTTTAAGTGACGTTATCAATATTTAAGTTAATTATTAGCAAAATCAGCAATATAAAATCCTTCAAGTCAAAAATTGTACAAACCTATTTGCTCGAACACTTCAAAAATATCATCGGGTGCGTGTCAGATTCTTCAAAAGTAGTGCATTAATTGTTGAAGAATCTAATTTGGGTGCGATATTTTTGGAAAGTCCGAGCAACATAGGTACAAACAGTGAATCAACACTAATCCTTTGTTTCATATTCCTGATTTTTGTTGATCAGTCAGCTATACCACTATCAGCACAATTAAATCATTTCAAAGAATACATTGGGAAGCTGAAGGAATTGGTTGGGGAAGAAGAAGGCAATTACATTTTAAACAATAGCTTATTCATACTGGTTGCTGGGTCTGTTGACATTGCCGGGCTTACTGGTAGCTACTACGAGGACGTAATTCGCCAAAAGCTGTACGATATCGACTCATATACCAGTCTTCTAGCGTCCTATGCTTTCGACTTTGTCCAAGTACGTATACCTTTGTGCCTATTCTCAATATATTATTTTACAATTTTGAATTTGAGAATTTGGGGTGTTAAATAGTTGAGTTGGGCTAAATTTCGATCAAAATGGGTTGAACCAATAAATTGGCCTATCATTAATTTACTCCCAAAATTACTTGGATTGTGATAAATTGGGTGAAGATGAGCTAAATAATGGATTATAACTCAACTCTAACCAAGTTTTAAAAATCTTCTTCTTCTTCTTCTTTGAATTTTTGAGTTTGCAGAATTTGATTTCATATCTAAAGTTTGAACGGCTAAAATTAAACTTTGGACCTTGGTGTCTAAAGTTTGGCTTTGACAATTCAAACGATTTAAAATATGGAACTTCGGGGCTCCGATTGAAACTTTCGTACTCAAGGTCTGAAGTTTGATTTTAAGATGGCTAAACTTTAAATACTTTGTAAATATTTGCTACTTTAAATAGCTAGGGGTTCTCAATTTGTCTATTTTCACTTTTCCCCATCAAGTATGCTAATATACGGTTAGACTTACCATCAAATTAAAGAAGTCATTTACGCAATAGGTGTGAGTTTGATTCACACTTCTCCGTTGCCTTCTCAACTCTCCCCATGCAATGGAAAACTTAAAAAAGAAAGATATAATTATCTATATTTGGATTCAATGATTTTATTTCGTTTTTATTTTTTGGAAGGAATTGTACAAGTTGGGTGCAAGAAATATTGCATTTTTGGGAGTTCCACCATTAGGATGTGTGCCAGCGCAGAGAACATTAGCTGGAGGTCCAACTAGAATGTGTGCTGAGGAATACAATCAAGCGTCCGAATTAGCCAACACCAAATTCTCAATTGCCATTGATTCGTTACACAAAAAGTTTCCTCAGTACAAGCTTGTTTTCATCGATGTCTATAATTCTATACTTGATTGCATAGTCAACCCTCAAAAATATGGTACAGCTAACATTAACCTCATCTAATTCATATTTCTTTTTCTTTTCCTTTGATCAATTTAGTTAAATTTGATTGATTATAGGACTTGAAGAAGTACAGAAAGGGTGTTGTGGCTCAGGAAACATAGAGGTGTCCATACTATGCAACAAATTCAGTGGAACATGTGAAGATGACACAAAATATTTGTTTTGGGATAGTTATCATCTTACTGAGAAAGGTTATCGGATTCTCGTTGATCAGATCATAAAAAGTTATACCAATAGTTTCTCATAGACGTTAACAGCTTGTTTGGATGGTTGTTCCTCGTTGTATCGTATTGTATTGTTATCCCAAAATAATATTTGTTTTGATTGTTTCATTAAAATTGGTTGTATTGTATTGTTAAATCCATTGTTTCGGAACAATGAAAAGTTCCTTTTTTTTTAAACAACCGATTTAGTGGGGTGGGATTGTTTCCTATTTTTCTTTTCAATTATGTCCTAACTTATTACTCTAAAATTCTATTTTACCCTTTACCTTTTTTTCTATTTTAACTCCAAATCTCCAACCTATAACCTACTTTGTTTTTTTTCCAAAACTTCTGCCGCCAACGTTAAATGTATTTTGCCGCCTTTTGTTTTATTTTTTCTACTAATTTGCTTTTAACTCAATTCTAATTAGTTGTGCTCCTTTGTTTTGCCTTCTTCTGTCTCGCTCCTTTATTCTGCTTTCTTAAGGTGTTTTGCCTTCTTCTGTTTTGTTTTTTTAAATTATGTTTATGCATAATTTTTGATAAATTTAAGATTTAAACAGTTGAGGGTATTTTAGTCAACTTATCAGTTATAGTACAGTACGATACAGTCAAACCAAACAGCAAAATATTATTTAACGATAACAAACAATACAATCTATCAAAATATTGTATTTATAAAACGATACGGTACAATACAATACAATACATTATAAAACGGAGTTAGTTTTGTCTATGGTCATTGAACTTTTGTATTTGTTACCCAAAAGTCACTTTTTTTTTAATTACGTAAAAAATCATTCAACTTTGTGTTCATTACAGAAAAGTCACTTTTCTTTCTTTTGTTACACAAAAATTATTTTACTTTGCTCTAGTCATCACAAAAGTCACATTTTTACTTGAAAAATCTATTATGTCCTTGATATTATATAAACCTTCATATTTATGTAATACCTTCTATATTATATACTATATAATATATTTTTAACTATGTATTTTATTTACAAATAAAATAATATATTCTTACATTTAATTTTTACTTAACATTAATTTTTAAAATATATTAGTAGCGTTATTAAATTTGTCAATAACTTTAATATATATTAGTAGAGAAATAAATCGGCAAGTACATTTCTGTGAGAAAATTCGTAGGTAAACAAACAAAGAAAATGAGGAACAAATCATATGTTAATCTGAAGGAAAATTCCTAGGTACTACATGCGAATTTAGCTGGGGATATTTTCTTGGGGACTTACCTGGGCAATTGGTCATTTGGGAAATTACACTACTAGAAATTCGGGAAAAACGGTCCAAAAAAATCGACTAAAGTTGGTCGGTAATGGCCAATAACCGTCCGAAACGCGACCATTAACGAGTGGTCGGTATTTTGAAGGTCGGAGGGCATACCGATCAAAGTTGGTCGGAAATTACCAACCAACTTTGGTCGGTCAATTAAATTCAAAAAAAATAATTGCTGAAAAAAAAGTTATTTTATAACGCTACTAATATATCTTGAAAATTAAAGGTAAGAAAAAATTAAATATACGAATATATTATAAAAATAATAAATAAAATACATAGTTAAAAATATATTATATAGTATATAATATAGAAGGTATTACATAATATGAAGGTTTATATAATATCAAGGACATAATAGACTTTCAAGTAAAAATGTGACTTTTATGATAATTAGAGCAAAGTAAAATGATTTTTGTGTAACAAAAGAAAGAAAAGTGACTTTTGTGTAATGAACACAAAGTTGAATGATTTTTACGTAACAAAAAAAAGAAGTGACTTTTGGGTAACAAACACAAAAGTTCAATGATCATGGATAAAATTATCTCTATAAAACGATAGGAAACAATGATCCAAAAAGAGTGTAAATCGATCAAGATCAAGATATGTCCCTCCTGGTTAATAAACTTTTGGATCTAATCCAGGTCAGTATTTACAAGTATTGAAGCAATATTTTGATGCTAGGTGTTTAACCAAAAAATGGAATTTTGACTAAAGCTATAATTTAGAAGAACACGGGTTACTGATAATCGTAAGAATGTATAAAAGAGAGTAATTTGAATAGCCAGAATATAATTGAATAAAACAAGTAAACCAAAGTATATTCAGATGATCTTTTTTTTCTTACAAACTGTTCAGTCCTCTCCTTTTATAGCTATTATGGATGTAAGTGTCTTGCTTTGGTCATAGTAAGGCTATTATGGGCAATAAATGACATTGAATACTGCGTTACATAATCATTACATTTAAGACAGATTCTCTAACGTTTTCAGCATTTAATGCTTATCAAATACTGTACTTGGACCCTCGTATGCTGTCAGATTCATTCCCTTGACTCTTCTTGATTATTAAACTTAAATTTCTTGAATAGGTACGAGTGATGAATCCTTTAAATAACCGCTCGTGCCTCTTCCTTTGCTTTTGCTCGCATCTATTACCACTCGTGCCTCTTGGCTAACTATAACTCTTTGACTATTTGACCATTCTACGTGCCATGACACGTCATCTTCACACTCTTTAATATGTAAACTCAATTTTTTCCAATACAGATAGTCCCCCCACTTGCTATTTATTCATCAAATTGAATATTTGGGAAGTGGATTTCATTAAAACGGGAATTTTTGTCACCATTAATGCTGTGACAGAATTGACACTTCAATTGTCACTTCCATTTAATGCGTTTCACACGTGTCACCTTTCTATTGGTTCTGCAATTTTTGCAGCACTTTTCTAGGCTTTCTTTTCGGCTTCCTTGTTCACGAAGTGTCAGTTATCATTATTATGGCCCTTCATCATTGCACTTTTTCCTTTGACAGTTGATTAACAATATAAATATAACTTCTTTCTTTGTCTTTGTCTCATAAAGTTTACTGAACACTTTATTTTTCAAATCTTTGTTTGTTTCCTCCTTGTATCATCTTTTTTCATTATGTCTTCGTCGAACCCTAACCCTAGAAGGACTTCCATTGTTGATACCCTCCCTAGTGCTCTTAGCAGGGGCAGAAGGGGAGATAGGCACCGCAGTTCGGGATCTGCACGAGGCCTTTCTGTTTTATCTCCTGGTTCTGGCCCTTCTTCCAGAACCAGAGGTTCCCTTTCTCATAAATCTTCCTCTAGGGGTAAAGAACCTTCTGAACCATTACGTGAACATTTAGTAGAAGAGATAGTCCCTACGGAATTGTCTTTTTATCATGACAGGGAATCTCTTAGGAATCAGGTTTCTACTTTAGATCGTGCTGATGCTTTTCCCACTCAGATTACAGAAATTTTGGCTCCTGTAGTTCGCAAAGATTGCCATTGGAGTGATGAATTTCCTATCATTATTCCTAACCCAAATCAGAGAATCACTTCTTACTTGATGGGGTTTTCTTTTGTTTATACATACCCTTTCACCTTAGGGTTCAAACCAGCTATTGACCCAGTCATTCTTGATTTTTGTCGTTTCTTCGACATTTGTTTTGGTCAAATTGGCCCAATCATATGGAGGGTTGTTTCCTGTTTAAGGCATTTAACCAATTCTGCTGGTGTTCCCTTCACTTTCCCTCACTTAATTCATCTTTACTCCCCTAGGCTTTTTTGCAATGGTGTTTTCACACTAGTAGCCAGGAGTAAGAGGGTTTTGGTGAGCCCTGAGGATGACAATGACCGTGGCTGGTATGTCCAGTTTGTTGTTTCCCCCACTGCTGGTTTAGTGGGTGAAGATAACGTTCCCTTCCCTGAGAAGTGGAACTTTGCACGTAAGTCTTTTATCCTGTTCGTGACTTTTTCCTTCAAGTTTATCAACTTTTCTAATTCTGCTTCTCTTTCTTCTTTTTTTAGCAACCATGGGAGTTGTGGGAGATGTTCCCAATTTCCGTGGTTGGGTAGATAGATTACTGAAGACTGCACTAATGGATGGGAGGTCTTGGAAGACACTTTCTAACCGTTTTGGTTGGAAAGTAAAGACTCATGGTAAGAGCTTCTTATTTTGTTTCATCTTTCATACATAAGTTTCTCTTTATGGCTCTAATTTCAATCCATCTTTTTGTCAGGATTTGCTATTCGAGGAGTTACTGCTGAGGCAGTTGCGGCTTCCCGTGCTTCTTCTGGAACCCGTATCTCTTTGGAAAGGGCTCAAGAAATAGTCTTGGGTTCTTCGAAGAGAAAAGCCACTGAAAAAGAAGATTCCGAAGAAGAGGAGGATGACGGGGGCTCTTTAGTGATACGGCCTCGAGCTTGAAGACGCATCATTTCTGATGACGAGGCTGAAACATCCCCCCGCCAATCTGTGTCTCTCACCGAGCCTACTGAAGCCCCGGTGGTAATTCCTGTATCTGATGATAACGTAGCTCCCTTAGATACTCGTGAATCCATTGAACAACTTTTCATCAGTGGCTTCGGTAGTGGAAGTTTAGGGCCCGTTTTAGATGAAACTCCCCTAGCCTCTTTTTCTAAGGGAGCTACGTTTTAGATGATAACGTAGCTCCCTTAGATACTCGTGAATCCATTGAACAACTTTTCATCAGTGGCTTCGGTAGTGGAAGTTTAGGGCCCGTTTTAGATGAAACTCCCCTAGCCTCTTTTTCAACTCCCGTGCCTATGATTTCTTCCTTACCAACCCCAGCTGTTTCTGTTCCTTCTTCTACTGTTTTTACTTCTTCTACCGCTTCTTTTTTGACAATTCCCCCTCCTATCGTTCATCATACGGATGTGTGCTCTTCAAGTAGAAGTGCTGCCATGAGGAGGGTAACTATTGAAGTTCCTGCTGATAGCATCCTTTTGAGAAAGTCAGGCCAGGCGGATGTATGGCTAGAGCCTTTAATTGGCCCAATTAAAAAAGCAAAGCTGGAGAGCCATAGTTCCCTGGTCCTAATGAATGATATCGTGCACGCCACTTTGAAGGTATTTTCCTTCTCTCCTTTCTTTACTTTAAAATTTTTTATCTTTGGGATTCTTATTCCTCTTCCTTTTTTTAGGCCAATCTCATCGGCACAGAAATGATGAACAGAATCCCCCTCTTGGAGAAGGTAGCATGTGATTCTCTGTTGGAGCCGATCAATTGGAAGGAACAATTTGAGAGTGCACAAATTGACATGGAAGATTTACTAGAGAGTAGGAA